AAGAGCATTTACATTGTATTTCTCTTCCACCTCAAGTTGTTTGGCCAGTCTGTATAAGAGGATTTCACTAATAACTGAATTGCATAAAATAGAGAAAGAAGAGTCAATTAAGATGGTTTAAAGGAGAATAAAACAAGCAGAAGGCATATGGAAAATTTAAGGCTGTATTTCCTAAGCAAAAATCAAGACTTTGAGAAGTCATAAATAAATGGTCAGACAACATCACTCAAGGAAACTTACTCTTGGGAAGGTTCTGTGGTGCTCAGGGACATGATTTAGTGGAGGGTTGTTAGAGTTAGGGTAGTATGGTTAGGTTGTGATTGGACTTGAGGATCTTTAAGGTCTTTTCCAACCTGAGCAACTCTGTGATTCTATGACTCTTCTCCGTGAAAAGGCAGAGACAGTGGATAGTAAACTGGTAAAGTTTACTAGTACTACATACCCACTATGAAAACTCCAGCAATTGTCCTATTTCTCTCTCTCTCTCATGCACATGGACAAGCTTACATAATGAATTTCATTCACACTGCCAAATTTTGGTTCACAAGCTGGGCTTTGCTGTTAAAAAGTTATTTTAGGCACACTTATTGTGAGAGTAAGCTGGTTCCATAGAATAAGGAATAATTATTAGTGCTCTAGAACAACCAAAGCAGAAAGCTGGGAATAAGTACCATTCTGACAAATTGTTGTGTACTCTCAGATTCCTAAAACACTGCATATTTGCTGTATACAACAATGCAAGAGCTGTGAAGCAAATTCTATTTCCTGCTGTGTAATACTGATGGAGTAGAATGGTACAGCCCTGCAGAAGAGACAGAATGGGATACTTACACACAGCTCATGCAATTTGTTTCATTTATCCATGGATAATGCTCACACTGCCAGGCTCTGTCTCAGCACATCATCTCTGATGCCCTCAGATTGCAGGAGAGCACTACTATTTCCATTTTTACAGACTAGAAAAGACAAAACCAGATACAAGCCACAAAATGTATGATAAGTATTCTCAGAAGTCCCAGCAAGCTACTTAAGTGCTTCTAGTGTTAGGTAGTATCAGTCCCTTAGTATCAAGACCAAATACACCGGATAACAATAACCAACACCAGTGGGAGATGCACCAGCAGGCTCTACACCTTTCCTAATCTCAGTAATTGTCTTAACCATTTGACCGGGGCGCCATGCTTCCTCTTACTCCATTTCTCAGGCACAGAGTTTTCATTATTCCTGGCATAGCAGAAGAGCTTGAAGAGAAGGAAGTGACTCCACACTTAACTGGCCAGTGGCTGACTATGAGAATGCTCCCCAGGGAAGTAGAAAACTTGGCTTGGAATCCCCCTTCTGCCCCTGGGACACCAGCATGATGTCACACCACTCAGCACTGCAACAAAGGTCCTCATTGCTTTGGCTGCACGGAATGACTTACAGTACAGACCTTTACAGGAACAAGGAAACAGCCTTTAGGTCTCCTAGATCTTACACTGTTATCTTCAATAGGACATCTTCTCCTTACCGACAGAGCTGGAGTATGTGATAACAAAGTAGCAACCAGAAAGACACTTTGCATCTCACAGAAGCACCTGCAACATGCTTTTCAAGACAGACCAAATCAAAGTAATTCATTTTGTTAGAGGCTTAAGAAAGCTGTGAAGACTCACGCCCACCCAAGACAAGTTTGGAATGCCGTATCTTACTTGGCTTACCAAAAGATGCTTTCTTTTACTACTGTGGAAACCACAAGCTCAGGCAAGTTCAGCATTACTCCAAATATCAAACTTCTGTAATAATGAGCTTCCATACAGTCATCATTACAGCATGTAAAAGAGAAGTTCCTCACTCTTGCATGAGCTGCGTGGACTTCCTTCAGTAAAGTTTTTGTTTAAGGCATTTGCTATGCATACTATATGTGAAAGGCTATATTCACTTCAGATAATTTATACCATATTAGAGAATTATTGGTGATTTTATCATTGTAAATAACCTACAGAACGTTCACTCTATACAGCAGATAAATCTATTTCACAAGTGAGCCTTTTATGACAGTATATAAAGTAATAGTGGAACTATAAGATGCTCCAACCTAAAGCATTTCTGCTATGCCCAATGCAGTTCTAATGCTCACAATTTGCAGCAATCAATCTTGATGTCAAAGTACACAATAACCCCGTTTACAGAACAGGTGAGCCAGGGACAGAGGCCACCACATGCACAATATGGAACTTCTGCATCCTTGAGCATGTTGATACTTCTCTTCCCATGCTGCCCTTTGCTAAATGAAATGCAGGATTCTACTAGAATCACACTTTGCATATGTGGAGTAAATCAGCACGGAAGAACAACAGGATAGAAATCAAAGGCTTAACATTTTCAGGGTGTGGAGAGGATTAGTGACCTACAGTTGCTATGTATAATTTTAGAGACACTTGCCCTGTTAACCTGGTTATAAAGCCAACAGTCAGCAGCAATTGAAGTCACAATGGCAACAATATTCTGCTGTATGTGTTAGGGTAGAAAACATTTCCAAGAAGAAAAAGAAGTCCAAAAGAACTACACATGTATCACAATTTCCAATATCAAATCATCTTTTTCCCTTATTTTCTTCCTAAGTTCTTTGATATTTCTACTTAATGCTTTCCTTACTGCTTTCTATGTTCCTTTTGGGGGTGGGGGAGGTCTCTATTTTCTCTTCACTCCCATTAGCACAGACAAGAGAGCACCTCTTCCTACTTCCTACTCTGCAGACACCTAATCATCTTTCATTGCAAGTTGCTACCTCTTTCCTCTGAATTCTCTATCCCTTCTCTTTTTCTCTTGTCTGAAAAAGAAAATAAAAAAAATTAAAGACAGAGAAATTGAAAAGTGTTATTTCTCAAAACAAGCATAAACAGACTTTCCCACTTACTATAGTATGGGCTTCCAGCAGGCAGAGCTGGGAGACCAGCTACGTTCTCTTTGCCAGCCCCTTACTGCTGTGGTTTCTATGTCACCACTTCATCACTGCAGGTTAAAAAAACAGTACAATAAAACCTTGCATGGCTACAGCACTTTTCCTTATGCTACAGTCATACCTTTCTTTTGATGCACAAACGTACACAACTCTCCCTCTCTTGGCTTCTTTTCCCCATATCACATCTTGAAATCTCTGATTTCACTCTCTCCTACCACTTTTGGTGTTCCTGAGCCATAGGCCAAAAATGCCAGGAGGTTTTAAATACAAGCATCATATTCAGAAAGTACCCACCCACAGCCATTAAAAAAAAAAAAAAAAAAAAAAACTTAAGTCTTGGCAATTCTTTAAAGAAACTGTGCACAAGAACACAGACATCTGAAACCAGTGTGTAATGAGTAGTCTTCAGACATCATAGGATTCAGCACCTTCAATTAAGAAACACTATTATAACAAAAAAATGGAATCCAGCTGTTGCATCATCTGAGATACTGCAGGAATAACACATTCTGATGTCTAATATCTATTCATACAAAGCCAATTCAGAACACTGGATGAGATTTAAGTCATACCTATTTTTAAACCGCCTTACTTTTTATCTTCAGAACTCTGCCTGCCTACTTACCAATGCATTTACGTACCAGTGATTTAACAGCAAAAGTCAGAAATTAAGGTTGCTGGCTTTTTTAGCAATATCTACTAACATGGTATCAAAAAACATGGTCCTCTTCTATCACTTAAACTTCGTATTATGGACGAGAACAATATAAAGATCCAAAATGCAGCAAACGTTGAAATGCTTTAGAAAACAAACTGTGTTAGCGTGGACTGGTAAGACCCCTTTAAGAATTTTTTTTTTTTTTTTTTGTCACTGCTGTTAAGTACTGCCATCTTAAACGGTTTTCCAAGGTACCAACAGTAAATATGCTGACGTGATGATGATCAAATTCTCTAAATCCACACCAGAACCACTTCCCAAAGCCAGTATCACCAAACCCAATTGCAAGAGGACCTCTGGCAAGCCTGAAGACTTGCTCCTTCAGTACCCTCTTTGGAAGAGAATTTGTTGTGATACTGAATGCATTTCACCTTTCTATATCGTAGGTAAAGCTACTGTTGGAAGCTCTGAATCAATGTCGGATTTCAGTAAAACACCTACCATTCTCTTGCTGTACCAAAGCAACTTTTCTAACCTCCCAGTGCAGTCTGCTTGCAATGCCCAAACTCATGACACATCAGTGTTTCCGTTATCAGGCTGTATTAAAGGGGTTTCCCAGCCCAGCCACAAAGAACTCTGATTCAGTCCAAACATCCAAGTACCTCTTGTCTTAACATCAAAACCCTCTCCCTAGGCATAATAATTAACATTTATATCTATGTTACTCCATACACACTTCAGTACGGATTGCCATTAATAGAGACTTAGAGTCAAATAGCTCATCTTAAAGGAAAACATGCATTATATTATCATCTCTTTAGCCATAACTCCAACAATCCATGCATGCTTTAAATTCATGCTTCTGTGCAAGTCAATACCCATTCTGAATACAGACTTCGCTATTTCATATTTAGCCGCTTATCCGCTGTGCTGCATCCAGCCAGCGTGCCTTTACATCACACACTGAGCTCCGTTCTGGTCTATGAATGCAAGTTGAGATTAGTGCACAGCATTGCTACACATTGCATTCCGTGGGATGAACCAACAGTGAAAAATACACAGCTCTACTGAAGAATAAAAGCACACGTATCACAACGCACAGGACTCTGATAGATCTCAGCACGCTAGTGAAGTCCCTGACCCAAGGAGACTGCAAATTTCCAATTGTATCATCGGAACTTCCCACATTTACTACTACAGAAGCAGAAAAAAGATGAAGACCGTTCTAATGCGTGCTACAGACCCACCCAGAGGGGCACACACAGCCTTTCATGTCACACACAGGCTCTGACTGGCAGAACACAAGATTACGCCTTTCAACATTAAGACCATCTCAGTTGTTTCTCCACACGTAACCCAGATCTCAGACACAAATAAATCAAGATGTAAATGCCTTACCTTCCTATTTTACAAGCCACTGCAGTTCTCAGATTATGAGTCAGTCATAGGTTCATCTGCAGAGGAATGACTCAGTATAAACTTTTAAACACTCGTTATTTTCCCTAACCCTACAACGCGGTCATTAATTTAAGCCAGCAAAACGCGATGCTGCAAAAACAGCGCAGGAGACGGGTGGCGTAAAAAAAAATAAAAAATAAATTAAAAAAAAAGCCACCGAAGCGCTGCCCGCTCCCGCCAGACAGCGAGAGGCCGTTCGTTGTCTGTAGGAAAAGTGGCTCCGTCCACAACTCCTCCCGCACCGCCGGGCCCGCTTCGTGCCAGCGGCGGCGGATGTCCCGCGCTCACCGGGGCCGCCCGCTCCGCTCCGCTGCCGGGGCTCGGAGCCGCGGAGGGCGGCGGACTCGCGGGGGGCCCCGCTCGGCACCGGGAGCGGAGCGGCGCGGCGGCTGCCGGCGGTGCCCCTTTAAAGGCCGTCGTCCCGCCCCCAGCACCGCATATGGAGGGAGCCAGGAGCGGAGCGAGGCTTCTGCATTCAAACGCCACATCAAACGCCGCAAGCGCCGCTCCCGTACGGCTCCGGGCCGGGCCCGACGGCGGCTCCCCCCGCGGCACGCAGCCCCCGGGGCGGCGGGAGGAAGGCAGAAAGGGAAGGGGGGGCGGGGGGCGAGGAGGAGAGGTGAAAATCAGCGAGCGAAAACCGGGCACCTGCAGAGCGCCGGGCTGCGTCCGGGCGGGCAGAGCCCGCGTCGCCGCCGCCGCCGGGGTCCGACAACGGGCGGAGCGCCCGGTCCCGCAGCGCCGTGCCTCGGCCGGGCGGGCGGCGAGAGCCGGGGCACGGCGCGGAGCCGAGGGAGCCCGAGCGAGCCCGAGCCCGAGCCCACCCGCAGCCCGGAGCCCCGAGCCCCGCTCCGGCGCGGCGCCCCGTCCCCGGGTCGAGCCGAGCCCCTACCTGCGAGCGAGCGAGCGTGCGGCGGCGGGGCGGCAGCCGGAGCCCGGCGAAGGCGACCGCCAGCCCGACGGAAAGTCCCTGCCGCTCTGCGCCGTCTCCCCCCGCCCCACACTTCCTCTCCCGCCCGCTCAGGCTGGAAATCCCCGGCGAAACCCGCTCCTCCTCACACACCGAGGGGCGGGCCCGGCCCGGCCGCTCAGCGCGCAGGCGACAGCCGGGGGCCGGGCCTGCCTTAGCCGGCTGCACCTGATGCCGCCGAGACTCGCTACCCGCCGCCGCGGGGCAAAACCCGGGGCGCTGAAGGAGCGCGGGGCTCGGCGCCACGCGGAGGGGCGGGCGGCTCGGGGCGGGCGGTGCTGCCGGGGGGCTCGGCGCGGGGCCGCGGGCGGCTCAGCCCGGGGTTGTGGTCGGCCCGGGGACGCGCCCCGAGGCGCCGGCAGCGGGCGTTGCGGCGCGGCCGGGCGGGAGGGAGGAGGGAGGCGGTGCGCGGCGGCCGTTGGGCCGCGCGGGAAGGCTGGGGGGGCCGCGGCCCCGCTCTCCTCGCAGCGAGAGGATCCGCACAAAGGGCCGCTTGGAAACGCGGTCGCCTTTATTTAAAAAACGCCGCTGGGGAGGGGAAAAAAAAAGGGGGGAGGGGGGGGGGAGGGGAGGGGAAAAAGAATGGGAGGAAAAAAAAAAAAAGAAAGAAAAGAAAAACGAGCGCGGGGAGAGAGGGAGGGAGGGGGAGAAGAGTCTGGAAAAGAGCAGAAAGGAGCCGCGAGCCGGGGCGCCTCGCCCCGGGCGGCACAGCGGGTGCCGAAGCCCGGGCTGAGCCGGGCGCTGCGTCCCCGGCAGAGGAGAGATGCTGACGGCCGTTAGCAGCCCGGCCAGCCGGATGAAATAAATGCCTGCATCGAGCTCCGCTCGTATCGTGTGATGTCCTGATTAGGGCAGATGTTTGACAGGCGTCAGAGGTGTCTGTCACGCAGGGAGCACGATACAGCTTGTCGGCTCCCCGCAGCGGGCTGCGAGCGGCGGAAGAGGCTCGGCGGGAGCCGTGCAAAGGGGCTGCAGCCGCACGGGGCTGCTGTGCTGGGCGGCGGGACGTGGGAGCGCGGGGACCGGCAGAGCCGAGCACGGAGAAATGTGCTGGTGTTTGGCCGGTTTCACTGGGATGAGGTCACCGTCCTTTTTGTACGTTGTTTATCGAGGATCGCTAGGGAGGAACGGCGGGATGCGTGATCCTGAACGGGCGGGCTGCGCGTCATAGCCACTGCTTGCAGCATCTCCCCGTGTCCCCAAATCCATCCTGACCCTCCCTGTTCGATCCGCATCCCCCGCATCTGTGCAACGCCCACGCCAACTCGCCCGGCGAACCAAACATCTCCTGCTCCGCTGTGTCCTCATCAGACCCCAAATACGACGCTCGGCTGGCACTGCTAATTCCCTCCTCGTGTGCTGTTTTTCTTCCTCATCCCACCTCTCTGCTCTCCCCCCCCTCTCTCTCCCTCCTTCACTCTCCCTCCTTTTGCTGCTGTCCCCAGGAAGAGGCTGGCATAGCTGTCAAGACAACTGTGCCTTTTGCAAAGATGCTGTGAACCTGTGATCGGAAAGGCGATCTAAGACCGATGTCTTAAATGTTCCCATCACTTGCTCGGGATTGCTTAGCTCTGGCACGGCTGGCAGGATTGAGTACTGAGCCTTGATCTCTCCAGCAGCAGGGCTGTAAATAAGTTTCCATCATAAACATGCCTGCAATTTCCTTCCTTGCTACTCTTTTTGCTTTTGTATGTTTGTCCTCTTGATTTGCCCTGAAAAAAAAAGAAAAAAGGGAAGAAACATAATAGGATTGCAGTGCTGATAGCTTTGACAGATATACTAATGTAATCTTCCTTCCCCTCCCCACCAAAAAAAAAAAAAAAAAGACCGAAAACAAATTCTTATACTATCTTTAAGATGTCAAGCAGAGGCTTTTCCATATTTAAAAGTGTCAGTAGCTGAAGTGTTGATCTGATTAAATACCTCCCATTCCAAGTGCCTTGTTTTTCCTGTGTCACAGTTACAAGATTTTAAAGAATTTTAATATCATAGAATTATGGAACATCTCAAGTTGAAGGAACTCATAAGGATCATCCAGTCCAACCCCTGGCTCCACACCGCACCACTCAAATCCAAACCCTATATCTGAGAGCGTTGTCCAAATACTCCTTGAACTCCAGCAGCTGGGGTCCGTGCCCACTGCCCTGTGCAGGCGGTTCCATGCTCACAGCCCTCTGGTGCAGAGCCTTTCTCTCACCCCCAGCTGCAACTCCCCTGACACAGCTCCACGCTGTTCCCTCAGGCCCTGTTGCTGTCACACAGAGCAGAGCTCAGCGCTGACCGTTCGCTGCCTGTGAGGCCTCCTCTGCTCAGGGCTGAACAAACCAAGGGACTTCACCATGTCCTCCTTCCAGATTCTTCCCCGTCTTCACAGTCTTCCTTTGGACACTTTCTAATAGTTTTCTGTTCTTTTTGTACTGTGGCACCAAAGTCTGCACACAGTACTTGAAGTGAGGCTGCACCAGTGCAGTGTAGAGCAGGACAACTTCTCCCATTAAACGGCAGGCAGTGCCAGGCTTGATGCACCCCAGGATATGGTTGATTATTACAGCAGTGTGTTTCTGGTGGTGACCAACCTACAAGTAGTTTGGGATTTCATGGCATACCCAATGTTTCCAGCGGGTCCTGAAGCATTGCCTGCCAATGCTGCTGTGGCACACTGCAGGTACCTGCCACGCAGCACTGCCAGCAGCAGTGCTTGGAACAACAGGAATTATGGCAAAGGACACAGAGTAGCTCTGTATTTTAGTAAAATGGTTCAAAGAAATAAAATAAGAGGACAGCAATTTGGAAAATTATATGAGAGCAGAATTTTAAAAGAATCCACAGTAATACCAGTGGTTATCTATTACAGACTTGGGTAGGAACAGTTATGTGTAGAACATGGAGAAAAGGGGACAAGTGAATATCACGTGACTATGGAAAAGCACAGTTTCTCAGATAGTGGATGGAAAATACCACTGGGAAGTTGCAGGGCTTTCGTGTGATGTAAGCAAGATTCTCAAGCTACAGGGAGAGTCCATGAGAAAGGAGGCTGCTTTAGGCCTTGTATTAATAAGCGGAAGGGCCTTGTAGAAGGCCATAGTATCTAATCTTATCTTGAGCTGAGTAATCACGGGCTAATTCAGCTCCTGTTAAATTGAAAGAGGGACAGATGTGGATCTGTCTGAGCTGGGACACCACAGAACTTAAAGAAAAAACCTCACAAAGGGACCAGGGGAGACAAAGCTGATTTTTACTCACAGATATTGAAAGAAACTGGCAAATAAAATTACAAACTGAAAAACAAGGATTTGTTCAAGGTTGGGAGTAGTGAATGGAGAAAGGTGGTGATGATGGTACTGTCTCTGGCCCTTCCACATGAGTGCATCACTTGGTGAGAAAACAACTACAAGCTGCCAGCATGCAGAGCCATGGAAAAGGCTTGTGTGAGCCTATGATGCACCAGCTGGGGTATTTTTAGTAGAGACAGGAACGTATTAACATGGCTTCACACAGCATTGCTAAGGACCCTCATCTGGAAAATTATGTACAATTCTGGTGACTTACGAGCAGAAAAGCTTGACTCAGATTGCAACAGGTGCAGAGGAGGAATAGCGGGGTGACGGGGGAACGGAGCATCTGAGCTCTCGGGGGGGAGCGTAACATATGCAAGTGTAGCTTCCTTAGCTGGACAAATGAAGGCTGCAAAATGGTTTAATGATTCATTGTAAATACATTCAATGAGTAAATATCAAAGAAGGAAAACTATTTAAATTAATGAAATAATTATACAAGCAAAAAGATGTAAGTTAGGAGGAATCAGTCGTGAAAACGCTTGGACTGGAAAGTCAATGAACTTTCTAACCATTCCAGGAGTGAACAAACAGTGCTCTAGGCACAAGCACTTAAAAGATTTTAAATCAGGGCATGGTACTTTGATATATCCAAGGGGAATTTAAAGGGGACTGAGATGCTGACCTTTTCAATTGTACTTCTACCATTCCCAAACTTCAGGGCATCTTCTGGTCCTCTGCCCCTTCTGCATTTGGCTTGTCAGGGCTTTTTCAGCTGCCTCAGAAGCACTAAAAATTAGTCAGAGGCAAGATGTAGAAAGGACTCTGGTGACATTAAATCATCGGGTAGTTTGTGGTGCATCTCGCTCATAGAGGTATGGTTGAATTGACTGACAGATTTGGGTCACAAAGAAACCTTTTCCTTCAGGTGAGGATAGTAAGGGTCTGTTTTCATAGAATCATAGAATGGCTTGGGTTGGAAGGGACCTCAAGGATCATCAAGTTCCAACCCCCTGCCACAGGCAGGGCTGCCAACTGCTAGATCAAGTACTAGATCTGATTGCCCAGGTCCCCATACAACCTGGCCCTAAATACCTGCAGGGACAGGGCTTCCACAACATCTCTGGGCATTCTGTTCCAGAACCTCACCACTCTCTGAGTAAAAATCTTCCCCCTGACATCTAATCTAATTTTCCTTTCCTTTAGTTTAAAACTATTCCTTGTCCTATCACTATCTACCCTTGCAAAAAGTTGTTTTCTGTCATGTTTATAAACTCCCTTTAAATACTGGAAGGCCACAATGAGGTCTCCCAGCAACCGTCTCTTTTCCAGGTTGAAAAAGCCCAGTTCCTACAGCCTATCTTCGAAGGAGAGGTGCTCCAGCCCTTGCATCATCCTCATGGCCCTCACCTGGACCCTCTCCAACAGCTCCACGTCTTTCCTGTTCTGCAGGCCTCGGACCTGGACACAGTACTCCAG